GATTTTTACTCTCATGCATCATTTGACACTTTTGAGTGGTACGATCAGAGTTGCCGTCTGATATTCTTGTTGTGTTCGAACATGCTAGTTGCTTTATACAAACAGCGAATGCTCTCCTGTGCCTGAAACCGGCCTCCTCTCTCTTCCTTTCTTCCTCAGTGGACATCGGAGCCATATGAGAGTATAGACGCGAGCAATTCCAACGCTGCAGTCACGGTGAAAGACGACACACAGTTAAGCGAGCAGGGCTGCAGCCAGGGATTAGACAAGACCCAGGAGGATTCAGCATCTGCCTCAACAGTTCCAGACCCAACTGATCAAAAGACTGTCTGAGAGAGAAAACACATCTGTGACAGTGCCCATACTCATGCCCACATACAGACAGGACTGTATGAAGAGTTATACACACATAAATAAAGAAGATTGTATGAGAGAGCACCCATGCACACAAACCTGCCTCCTCTGTCCTCAGCATGTGGTCTCACCCTGTTGTCTGAATGTAAAGTCTGAAAACACAGTCTTTGATGCAGAGGATAAAAATAAAGACATTTTTAAACGACGTGGCCTCTTTCTGTGGTTAACAGGTCTCATTTAAATCTGGGTGTCAGAAGGAAATATTTATTTTTGGAAGTATAGTTTATCAAAATGCCACAGGTTAATTATATAGTCTTACTCAGAGATGCCAAAACTCCCCCGTGTATTAGGTTGTTTAAACATTTTACTTTAAATGATCATGAATTGTTTCAAAAAAGCAACTACATTATGTCTGAGTTCAACATGTGATTACTAGCCTTTTGGCCTTTAGTCAGATGATCTCCCCGAAAACTCTGTTAAACACTATTTGACTTCATGCGTAATCCTTTTAAAAAATAATGTATGCCTCGTTTTGAGCGGGGTATGGATTTGAAACCTGAAAAGGACTTTCCAGTTCTCAGCTGAATGGTTGGTTTTTAAGTTAAGAGTAGCCTGCAAAGAAACATAACACAACATAGGATTAAACAGCCCCTAAATCTGAATAAAAGACTTATTTGGCCATTTTTATTTATTAAGGTTTTAAAATGTACAGCACCATGTAAAAGTGCTGACCAGCAGGTTCTCCAAGCTTTCTGGAGGTCTTTCTTTGGTCATTGGCTGCTTTTTCACTGTTTTTCAGTTCTGTCCTTTTACCTGATCATTTTCAGATGAATGTTTTTTTTGTTTGTTTTTTTTGTTGCACCACCTAATATTGACCTATGAGTCATTCAAGCACAAAAAAGTAATCTACATCAAGAGCTGAATCAGTGACATCTTAGCAAAGAACTAATTTTAATTTCTGTGTAGCCACTTTGTTACCAGCAACCACTGCAAAAGCATGTAATTTGTTCCCATTTCTTTTGTTGAATAAATTTTTTTTAATTATGGTCAATTTTATGGACATAATTTGGTACTTTTGAACCAACAAGGTGATTGACTAAGAGCTATTAGCTGAAAAGCCTCTGCAGGGTGTGCAGCGTGTCCTTGAAAGAAATTGAGGAAGCTGTCCAAGTGGGGGATAAAAGAAGAAGTATCAGACCTAAAAAGAAAAAAAAAATGCAAGAAAATGACCAGTATCTGAAAGCAGTGTCCTTAAGCAAAATACAAGAAATCTAGCAAAGACTAGGCAGAGGATCTGAGAGGTGAATCTGGCCTTTTAGCTGATCCATCTGGCTGGACAGAAAAAACACAGTGGAACAATATCACTCATAGATTGGTCTCCTCAGAACCCAGACCTCAACATTATTGAAGCAATTTGCAATAATTTCTTACA